AATCTAGATATCTCATTATTGAATCTACCTGCCCTACGTAAATGTGAGAAGAATTCACCACCATTAACATACCTAATAATACTTGTTAATAATAATATTACTAGTTATAATAATGATAATATTACTCCATAGCTAAATAAAGATATCTTCTATCTTGGAATGATCCATATAGATTTACTATATTTGGATGATGTATTCTCTTAAGAATATTCTTCTCAGATATTATATGATCAACCTAATAAGTATAATAATAATGATATGTACACATATTATTATACTACCTGTTTAAGTTTGATAATCGATGCTTTTTTAAGTATTTTCAAAGCATAATGATTATGAGTAGCCTTATTGGTAACAAATCTAACTCTGCCGAATGATCCAGTACCCAAGGTTTTACCAATAATAAAATCATCATAACTACAACAATCAAGTAGTGATGATGACAACGACGACGACGAAGATGATGATAATAAATCAACACCATCAGTAGCAGTAGTAGTAGGTCCTGAAGGATAAGTAGCTGCACTAGTAGGTTGTTGATGATATAATATCATCATACTGTATATGATTATTATTACCCTTCTCTTCTTTATTATCATCATAGTATCCTCCCCCCCTCTGCTCCTCCTCCTCTTCCTGCTGGTTAGTATTGTCGTGATGATGATGGTGGTGATGATGTAGTGTTGTTGTTGTTGCCATTACTATATCGTAGTAGGCCTAGATTGCCGATGCTACTACCCACAATCAATGATGATGAAGAAGATTAGGCAACGTTAGGGGCCGTTAGGAAATCACCAAGACAAGTCAAGTGCGCAAGATTAGTAGTAGTAGTAGTAGTAGTAGTAGTAGTAGTAGTAGTAGTAGGAGGTCTGAAGTTAGTACGTCATAATAGCTACTGTGACTCTCCCTTCACACCTGCTCTGTACATATACGTCCTACGGTCGACTATTTCCACGACTGAGCCCGGATGATGGGCTACGAGCCCTAGTTGGTCTGACTAGGGCTAAACTTACAAGCTCCCGTGCCTACTACTATTACCACAACTACTTACAACACCATACATGGAAACATCATACCATCAATTATTATAGCTAGACTGATGACGATGATCTGAGCCTTCAGATAGAGCAGTTAAATGTGATGACGGTTTGAATCGGTGATATAAGGCATTGCCAATACTAAAGAGAACGCAACATTAAGTATTAACAAACTTGCTGCTGCTGCTGCTAATGCTAGTGTTAGTGGTGGTTGAATGTTCATTAAGAAGGCATCATAGGACTTCTTGTTGTTGTTGTTCTCCTTGTACCTCTCCTTCTTGATGAAGATGATGCAATTGGTAGTGTCCCTCCACCACTAGACTTTTTCTCATGTACTAATAATGGTATAACCTAATAATAATATTATAATAGTAACAGTTATTGATGATATCACTTGTTCAGATGGTGTACTAGGTGTAGGAATATCTGCTATTGACCATCCTAATCTCCTTAAAGTACCTTAAATGATATTATAATAATATTACGCTTCGTATTCTATTACCAATAACATCTCTAACACTTATACGTTCCTGATCTATACCTAATCCCCAAGTATGCACTTCTACAACAATAGAGTATAATATCATAATACTATATACTATTACTCGTATTAACTCCAGTCTCTTTGGGGAATCCTCTTTGTTGTTGAGATGTTGTTGTAGAAGTAAGTGATTGATAGATAGGTTCCCCATGTTGTGTTATGGAAGTAGTTTTATCTTGTATAATCTCTTGTGTAATATGTAATATGAGTGTCTATAAGATAATCATTATAATAATACGTACATATGTATATTCACCTGTATATGCTTAGATAAATAATTACCTGCAGCTTCACTCACAACACAGGAACCTGCGTATTGTGAGTATATAATACTACCATAGTAGTAGTAGTATTACATGCACTCCTCGATTTTATAAGATGAATAGGTATCGCTGTTGGTATATCATCATCATTCAAGACCATCGTCGACGTAGTAGTCGCTACTATACATCATAATATAATCGTCCACTACTACTATTACTACCTCCATCAGTAGTAGTAGTAGTAGTATTGAATAATGTGTTATGACTAGAATGGGGAGGAGCATGATGATGATGATTATGATTGAAGTCGTACATACTACTATTCGTTACTTCTGCTCCTACTATTATCCCTACACCTGATTCATAGTAGCAGTAGTAGTATTACCATGTTGTTGATGATGGGGTGATGATGATGATGATGCATTATGTAATACATTCCTAGATTCCTCCAATTGTATTGTAGTAATAGTATGATGATAAGTATCATATTCACCTTAGAATAGTGATCATATGTGTATAATACTATTATTATACCTACCACTACCATCACCATCAGATGATGATGATGATGGCATCATAGAGGAGGTGGTAGGACGAGGAGGAGGAAGTCTTTTACCACCTATAGACGTTTGGGGTTCTTGTTGAGTGTCGCTATCATTATTAGGATACATACTACACTCAATGATGATGATGATGATAATGATGATAATGATAGTGTTGTAATGATAATAATAACACTACAAGTGATAATAATAGAAACCAATAACCACATCATAATCATACTCCTCTTCCTCCTCATTCTCCTCCTCCTACTACTCCTGTTGATGATGATGATGATGCTCTTATGTTATCCCAAGTTTGATGATGATGATAATGAGTATTTCTATTATCAGACAATAATGAAGAAGAATCTGATAAAGAATAGGATTGTCCATAAGAAGAGTATATCATTATTATTACTATTGTTATTCCTTTCCTCACTTACTCCTGTTCCTGAGGGCTGCTGCTGCTCCTGTTGGTGAGGTGGTGGTGGTGGTGGATCGTATGATTCACCCCATACATTGGTATTATCATAGTTAGACACCGCATGCTGTTGTTGCTGTCCTCCTCCTACTCCTCCCTGGTTCACTTGTTCATTAACCAATATTCTTTGTTGTATAGGATTAAGGGGTAATGGATGATGATGATGATGAATACTACCACTACCATCATCATTATTACTACTAGTACGACCTACAATACTAATCTACGATCATAATCATACTATTATTATCCTACTTCTAGTAGTAATACCATTAAATGATGATAATTTACTAGGAGATTCCCCTCCTCCTCCTCCTCCTCCTCCTTCCTGTTGTTGTTGATAAAACCATCCTCTCCTCCACCACCACCTCCTCCTCTCATTAGAATGAGATGTAGCATGATGTTCATACGGTGATGATAGATAAGAGGCAGTGGGGTTGCTGATATCTAAAGGTATGATATACATGGATTAAAAGAGGACCATGCTAGTAGTAGCATTAAACAACAACAACACGACCAACAACAACAACATGATGATGATGATAGAGTACTACTACTAGTAGTACTACCTCCTTCGTGAGATGGTGATAATGGGTGTATTCCTCCTCCTCCTCCTCCTCTTATCTGTGCTAGGAAGGTTCGGCACATATGTCCAAGATTAGTATTCTATAGAGAATATGATTATCAAGTAATAGGGTTGTTAATATTATTATTACTTGTTTTAATACATCATTATAACATGATGATATCATAATATTATTCTGTATAACTCTACTACTAACAGCAAACATGATAGTAGCTGGTATAAGAGCAGGTATATTACGAACAGTAACAGGAGCAGCACCTATAATAATAGAAGTAATATTCTTGTTATTATTATCATCATCACCTTTAAGCATTGTATTAGTTGATAAAGTCTTCCATGAGAAATATGTAGATATACCAATCAATGATCCAAAGGCTAGACCATAATTATTACGTTTCCATATTGGTGCACGCTCATACGGTGATAATATAATACTAATAATATTCAACTACTACTGCTGGTAATAGTATTATTAATATTACCGATTATTGATCATCCACGATTGAACTTGTGCATCCAACTTATGTAGTTCATCTTTAGTTGGTGATGATGATAGACTACTGTCCATGATAATTATTATAACTACTATTATGATGATGATCAAGAGCATGATCGAGTAGAGAAAACTCTAATGATAATGTTATTAATATCATTGAAACTATCATCAGACTATTCCTCCATATCCTCATGATAATTGATCAATTGTTGTTCTTGTTGTTGTTGTTTCTTACTACGAAGTGCCTTAGAATATAGTGCATCTAACCCCTCCTTCTCATACCTGCTTGATACTAGTGTAAGTATATACTACCACCGCTATTATTATTACGCTTCTATACTAGATGATTCTGGTATTCTATCATTCATTATCTCATTAATAATAGTTGGATCAGATCTTGGTGGATATTCTAATGGACGATATTCATCCATAAACCATAATAATAATCTAGGATTAGATCCAAATATAGTCATTAATGTAGGACATAAGAATCCAAAGTATATAAAACTAAATACAACAACATCAACAACAACGTTACCATTATTACTATTATTACAATAGTCCAAAGTTCTTCTCAAATATCCTCTTCTTACCAGGTCTATTATATCCAGTCTCCCAGAATGCAGCCATTAATCTACTACCACTTAGCCGTAATAACATAATGATAACAAAAACACTACGAAGAAGAGGAGAAGAAGGAGGAGGCAGCCGAAGACTGATTAAGGATGGTAGTAGTACTCTTACGTCGTAGTCGTACTTGCTGGATCTACTCAAATACTATCTTATTATCGTAGAAACTCCCAGATAATGATGATGTCTTTAATCCAAGTTATTCCAAGTCACCATCGATTAATGAGTCGTCATGTTTCCCCATCAATGTTGTTGCATAACTACATTAATAATAATGAATCACAAATATGCTGCCACAACAAGTTCCATCGAGCTCGAGCTGACCAAGATCGAGCAAGACTAGGAGCTCTCCATCGGATATGCCTACTATATTTGAAAAACGGGATAGGCTATAGATTCTACTATGTCATGATATGAGTATTATAAAAGAGCATAAATTGATGAGGACAAGCATGTTCACATATGACTGCTATCATTCTGCACCAAAGTTAATGATTAATACTTTACAGCTGCACCACGAATCATTCGTTACGTATATGATGACCCCCATCTAGGTGGACGTCTAGTCATTTTCTTGTAATGGCGACCTATGATGAAGTGAGAAACCAGTCGCCTCGAGATTAATGTAACACGCTCCATAATAACAACAACAACCTGATGGCTGTATGATGAAATGTATTCCTTCGACATGCCTTAGCCATAGTCGGGTAACATATAGGTATGTTCTACGCCCAATCAACGAGGACCACTGGCCGGCCCCCCTTGTGGAGGGCGAGCGCTTTTAACCACCACCACTTGACGGCTGTATCAGATTTCGCCAACTCAGAATTCGCCAAAATGACGCCAAACAAATTCGCAGGCCTAATGACGGGAATTATAGGTGATACCAGTGTTGGAACAGATTACAACAATGTGATGAAATACGTTACTCTACAACTGATTTGGACTAGGATTTGGTGGATTCTGCAAAATTCAACAGATGTGCAGTAATCTGCGTGTTGTTCTCATTCCGCCAACATCAGTACTGGCAATAACTGCACATGGACAGCTCCCGCCAAGTTGGTCTTCTGGACAAGGATTGCCAAGTAGGTGATTTTAGGGTTGTGAAATATGGATCGAACAGCGTGCGCCCTGGCTATCGATTCATGTTTTGGACGGTCCAAATTGGACCAAACTTTTGGTGCCACCAAACTGGTGGTGTCCAGCATACATAGTCATTGGAGTTCGTACAAGCTCATTATATCAAGACTCAACGTTGGTTTATCCCCATAGATGATGGTAATGGAGCAGGGACCAATTCACGCCGTCAATTAATTATTTACGACTCTCAGCATGGCTCGCGACTCGGCTACTTCTCTTAGTCTTCGAGGTCAGTTACTGCTTGCAACGACACTCTACTGCTACTATTACTGCTACTTCTTCTTCGTTATCTCCCCACGATGACGATTCTGTGACGAAAATTTCTGTCGCTGGCTGAACCCTCAACGAGTAAGCGTATGAGGTGCTACAACTTCTGGACGCGATGAGGTCGTTCTGTTCATCTCGGGTGTGAATTTCAATTGAATCCGAGAGCATTCCCACTATGAAAGCTCTCGGATTCAATTGGTCTTATTTTCTATCGGTATTTTCCTACTGAGTCTTCACATTGTGAAGACAATGTGAAGCTCACAATGCCCAGCTAAGACCGGTCAACAGTGTCGTGATAAGTTCCGTTCTCTACTGTCTTCCGGTAAGTAGGAAGTTTCGCTTTTGTGTTCTATACTGTGTTGCTTTTCAGGAGAAGTTGAGTCTTGGAGGACCTTATTCTGTTTAAGTTTATTGTTGACAACTCGCTCTCACTCAAGCCCGCCCCCGATAGTCGTGTCGAGCGCTCTACTACTACAACGTCGGGTTCTGTTAATTCATAATCTCGGAAAAGGGTCTCTTTCAGGTCTGATCCTCCATTGGCGAGGCACCTCACGTTCGGGTATATTATTCTGATCTGATCAGTCTGATCAGCTCCAGCGAGCATGCGACATAGTACAGACAACGCTGCCGAGGGCCTGCACGGTGCCCTGAAGTGCTTCATGGGTCATCGCCGTGCACATGAACGATTCTCCATTCATCAACTGAGAAAGCACAACGAGCGGATGCGCATCAAGCTCCGAATGAAGGATGGTGAGCCTTGAATAAGGCGGTGGCCTTTCAAGGCTGAGGAAAGGCGAGTGAGTTAATCTCATTAGTTGGTGTTGTTTTTTTGATGGTAGTGTTGACTCGGAATTCAGAATCCTTGTGTTAATCACATGTCAATAGTCCCCGGAGACAAGGTGTTCGTTTGGTCGAACTTCTCGCTAGACCGCCAAGTTCGTCAGAAGTATTCGGTCGTCAGTGTTGAGGGCGACTGGTATGCCGGAGAAGACGATCTTTACCTGTATCGTCTTTGAGGAGACCGTGATGGTGAGGAGTTGGTAGTTGAAGGTGAAGAAGACCTCTGTGTGTTAATCGGCAGAAAGCGAGCCTTGTGGGGCTATGCTGAGTGCTGGAGCAGTTTCCGAGATAACACAAGAACTGAGTAGTGTAAAAAACACGTTTTAAAGGGGAACAAGAACTGGTTATTCTCTAGGCTTCGTTTAGCTGTCCACTACGTTCACGGTGTCTTATGGCAATTGTTGCGCTGTTACCAATAAGGTCGTTTCGGGACGCAACGACTGGTAATGGGGTAACCAGGTAACGGTAACTAGTAACCGGTAACTGGTTGGGGACAACACCTTGGTCACCAGATACACCCCATGGAACTTGCGCTTCTGGAACTTAGAGCTATGTACTGTGGCCGAAGAGGCTCTTTTAAAGGCAACTTTGTCGCCCACCTAAACTCAAGTCACCAGCACTAGGATACTATCCTGTTAGGACAACCTACCTGAAACACCTCTTCAGGCTCCATATCCTCTCTATGTTCCAGCGCTCGCTTCCCTGCCACCTGTTTGATGTATTGTGACCCAATTTGTTGAACCTCCTTCAAGTGCTGCCGCAGTCTCTCCAAATAAGCCTGAGCTGCTTCTTGGTCGGAGCCTTGGCCGGAGCCTTATTCAGCCATGAATTATTGAACTCGAGCTTTGGTCGGAGCATTCCATCGAAAAGGAGAATCTCTATGGAGATATGATGATCGGAGATCACTGACCGATTCATACAAGGCCATACGACGCTGTTCAACTTCCTCGTTGGGCCTTGCCGGCTCGGCAAAGTTGACAAAGGATTAACTCTGCCGTGGTAAAACTCATGTAAGTAGATCCTGGGCTTCCCGCGCGAACTCTCCTGTACTCGATCGGCCTACCACAAGACATGATAATCATTTGAACTCAGAGTCCAAAGACATCGAAAGTCACTGACAACGAAAAGCAGAACCAAGGGGGAAGTGTGCGGTTGAATCCAACTTGGCGGTATGCGGCCTTGATAAAACTCTCGCCGGAAAGGAAACATCTCAAAGTTGTGGCGAAAGCCTGTCACAAAACCAGATTTGAACAAATCACCTGGCGATATTCGACTCCGACTCGGGAATATACCAACCGTGATCGATAAAAGGCGGATATCGCGAAAGATGGTGTAATCTTCATAAACAAATGATTATACCAAGATATCGGCGATTTACGACACGTAGTTGGCGAATACCGATAAGTTCACCAAGTTTTATAGCAATATCTGAGCCACTGGCATGTTACACCAATACCAAGTTGCTGTAACCGTGCGCGCAGAACGGAATAGATCATTTGGGCGAACGAAATTACGGATTTCCTCAACCAGTTTCCGCCACATCTCGGTGAAATTCGTTAGGTGTCGACGCCAAAGAGGTGAAATATGGTCCAGAAGCGGTCGTATCCCATGATTGAGCGTGTTGGCGAGAGTTCATTAGGACCCGAAATCACCAAGCTTGGCGAGTTGGTAAAACCTGGTTCTCCGCACTTGACGAAGACGACTACTACACCAACGTTCCCCCCTTCTTGTTATTCTTATTTAGCATTATTATTATGTATTTCGTGTTAACTGATAATAAGACAGTGGCTATGAAGCCTAGTGACCTTGGTCCTATGTTTGATATTGTAATAATATTATGAATAACTACTAATATGGTAATGTTATTATTATCAGAGATTGGATACACAACTACGAGTAGAATTGGAAGGGAATTTATCAAAGAATCATGATGGTACAATAGTACATATAATAAATATAGTAGATAAATCAAAACCTAAAATACAAGATGGTACTGGTATGGCATTAGTTAATGTTGTATTTCAAGGTATAATATTTAGACCGTTTAAAAATGAGGTAGTACTACTAATAATAATACACACAGAGTAATACTATATTATTAGGTAATGGATTGTTGGGTAAGTGAAGTTAGTAAACTTGGATTCTTTGCATACTTCGGCCCAATGAAAGTATTTGTATCAAGGAGTGTAAGGGGGTTGATATTATAATATCATCTATTATTATCATATTCAGAGTATGCCTGATGATGTTATCTTCCGTGAAACCGCTACTCCTGTATGTTATAGTGATGCTGATCAAACAGTCGTTATACAACAAGACTCTGAGGTAACAGTAATAAGGATGATGATGTGGAGAAGAAGGAGTGGTATTAATAGGTACGAGTACGTATAATGGGAGTGAGAAGAGATGGTAATCAGTTATTCGCTATTGGTACTATTAATGCTGATTATCTTGGTCCTAGTATTGCCCCTACATTACCTAATACTACTATATCTAATATTAATACTACTACATCACCACAACAACAACAAGAAGAAGATTATGATAATAATGAAGGGTTAATGATACACACTGATGATACTAACACCTTTTGAGATAATATTCACGTAATCATTTCCTATTAATAGTGTACTTGTTTAGTTGTTATTATTATTACATCGGTACGATAGTGAATATCATACTATTTATTATCATTTCAATGACATGTGAAATAGAGAATATTACGTATCAGGAAAAAAGGGGAGGAGGAGGAGGAATACAGGATGATAATGAGAAACTACAGCGTGGTGTAACTGCTCCTAATCATCACCATCATCCACGTCCCTTTCTTAAGAAAGGTAGTACTAATAGTAGTATTATTTAATACTGCTGATAATGATGATTAGCCTATCAACAGGTGCGAGGATGCCTAGGAGTTACATACCACCTAGGTCATCCAAGAATAATGCATATAAGGCTAATATTATCAAGGATGACAATAATAATATGAGGATGAAGGCGAATAATAAAATAGGCATAAAATGGAATACCGATATGATGATGAAGAGGAGGAGTAATACATGATCATCGTTGTTTATATATTGTTTGTTGTATTATCCTCAATACAGATCAGCAACAGCAAGAGCAACAGCACCACCAGCAGCAGCATGTATCGAGATCTGACGATAATATCCCTACTACTACGACGACATCTGCGACGACATCGTCGACATCTGCGACGACTGATATGGTATTACCGAGGAAATCATTGTATGATGATGATTATGATGATGACCTTAATAATGATGATGATTATATGATAGTAGAGGAGGGACAGTCCACTAATAACAATGTATTGTATAATGGTCTAATACCACAACACGATGAAGAGGAGGAGATACCTGTAGTGACGACGTGTAAGAGTATTCACGAAGATGAGGGAGTAGTAGTAATACCTCGAGAAGAAGAAGAACAGACAATAGGCTCTAGGAGGCATATATTATCTGCTCATTGGGAGGGTGATGCTGTTGCTAAACTTATATATGGTAATAATGATAAAGTAGGGATGGGCAATAAAGGAAGGACAACAACTACCAGGAATAAACAGGAGGGAAATAAGGATGATGATAAGGAGGAGAAGGAAAAGGAAAAGGAGGAGGGGAAGTTATTAAAGGAAAAACTAGCATTACTAGATAAGCAGATTACGAGGTAGTAGTACTATCGAGGATGTTGTCTTTAATATAATTGTAAGGTTTAATAAGGAGAACGAGATATGCAAAACGTTAAGAATTGAGAGGGAAAACCTATTACAGGAAGCAGAAAGGATAAGGTAATAATAACACTAATACTACATGGTGCTTACCATGCTTATTATTATTAAACAATAATATAGGGATAGAGCTAAGGAAGAGGCTGATGATATTAGGAAGAGTATTGATGATGATAGAGTAGCATTAAGAAGGGAGAGGAAAAGATTCCAAGAAGAGAAGGATCGTTATAGGCATATAAATGCACAGCAGGTGAGTATTACCATTATCCTTTATTATTATTACGATGATAAGTTATTATTAGAGTAAATGGAAAGATGAGGAGAGGGGGTTGAAGGATAAGATATTGGAACTCCAATTGGAAGTTGATAATAAGACTAAGAAGGCTGATTTGGAGATTAAACGACTTAATACACTCATTGTGGAACTTCAAATGAAGAACAAACATCTAGTTGCTGAAGTAATAATATCATATACCCGTCGGCTTTGCCGACCAGAATAATATTATTAGTTAAAACGATGTAAAGAGAGATGGTTGAAAGAGCTAGTAGATCCAGAGGAGGAAGAAGGAGAAGAAGGTGGTACATCAATGAGGAATAATAAGATAATAACAAAGGTTAAAGGAGATAAAAGGTAATAATAATACTAATTATGCTGTAGAGGTAATATTCATGATCAGGAATATGACCAGTGCTATCCGTCGTGATGATGATGACCATCATCATCATCATTCTATTGCCAATGAAACTACCAATAGAGAGACTAGCAAAGCTAGTATCGGTTATATTGCTATTCCTCCTACTACTACTACTACTACCACTCATCCTCCTATCACTACAACCAATAATGCATCATCATCATCATCATCATCACAACCTATTAATGAGGAGGATGGGGTTACTCATGATGATGATGATGATGATTACTGGTATTTCTATGGTCATATTCATAACAATGATGATAATGATAACGATACAAAATATGGTACACTAATTTCAGAAAGTTTAACAGACGATGGTAAACGTTGTGATCGTCTATACTCTACTGGTATCAGGACTGTCACTTTTACTACTGGTCTTAAGAAAGTTGTATGGCCTAGTAGCAGTGGTGAGTGTAATAAAGCATTAGTATCACGTACATATCTACCCAACGGTGATATTAGAAGCAAGATAAATGATGGTACTGAATTGTATTGGTATGTTGATGGTGGTACTAGGCAGAAGACTCTACCAGATTCTACTGATATATTCATATTTAATACTGGACAGAAGGTATTATCTCATCATCATAAACTTTATAGTAGTTCTTATATTAGGAATATCATTATCCCGATGGTAGCAAGGAAATACACTTCCCCAGTGGTATTATAAAGAGGATATCTTCAGAGGGATAAGCTCATAAATGATGATAATCATCATTATAGTATTATTATCATTATGACAGTTCCATTATTACTATGCAGCATGTCTACTATTGGTTAATTTATCATTAGTAGCGTTGTTCCCAGTAATATCATCAGCCTCGGTAATGTGAACTATCTAAATCCACTGGTAATGTCCCCAATAATATCATTCTACTAGTGCGTAAAATAAAATGCCAATAAATGGACATCTCTCACCAACTATGTTGGTTAAGAATAACCTATCGAAAATGATGGATATCATCAAGGAGATATGAAATATACCGAGTTAATCAAGTCATCAACAAGGTCCAACGTTCGGTAGTTCATACAACATCCCTTTCATATTGGACATCGTGATGAGCTTAGTTAAGTACCAGTACATGTTGATGGAGAGTGAAACCTCGGAGGAGTGTATTTCACTTGAGGCTTTCATCGAAGGTAATATTAAGGTACTTCATATGATTAGATGATTACTACTACTAGAGGCAACACAAGATTGGTGTTATGTAAGGGTTTCAACGTTCATCTGTTGTTAAAGCGAGATTGAGGTAATCGTATAGGTTTCCAACGATAAGTATTGTCACTTGGTTCCTCCTTCTTCACTACCACTGATGGGTTTACTACTCCACCACCACCAACAACAGCCTGAATACATGAGATGATAAGGATAGTTATCATTAGGGCTTACTGCAGTAGCTTCTCCTAATGCTTGACTAGCTGCTGTTACTGCAGCTGTAACAGCTGCAGTAACATACTACACCACCACCTCCCTGTTCTGCTGATGTCGTTACTGCTGATGATTTACTCTTAACTGCATCTGGCTGATCCTTCTTAGCCAACCGATATTCGGCATTTTGACGAGTAGTACGATCAATCTTGGCAAGTAAATATATAGGTACATACCATTATTGCCCTATTACATCGAGTAGTATATCATCATCAACTCTTCTTAGTATAGGTATAGCCTTCATAGTCTTAGCACATTCCTCAGCAACTGATTGATAATTACCTGTATAAATATTTGAAATAGCAATAATAATAATGATTCACTTTACTCGTCATAAGATCTCTCTTAGGTAGAACTTGTAATACAGTCTGTATTATCATTGGTATCATCATCATAGTCATATCATCTATATCAGCGCCACCGCCACCGCCGCTCCCATTAATATCATCCATTTCGTTATGATGATGATGTGGATGATGCTTAGCTGATAAGAAAGCAGAAGTACTTGTACCTCCACTTAGGACCTGATCCTCTTGAGCATTGTATCTAGCAATAATAACAAGTAAGAATAACCTATTATCATCATCATTGTTATTATTATTACGGTAACATTTTGGTAATATCAGGTCTAACAACTTGATGTAATTCTGTTTCCTTATCCCCTCCCATATCAGATGCATCTAATAATGTAGCTGCTAGATCGCCAAGTTGTAACAATGATTTTAATTCCTCCTCATCATCATCATCTCCATCATCATGATAATCAATCCTCCTAGATTGTTCAACATCATGAGGATAACCTAAGAGGAATAGTGACAACTATAATTACTTATAATACTGCGGTACGGTAATCACCAGCAGCAGTAGTAGTAGGAGAATGGTGATGCTGATGATGATCATTGAAGTATTCCAATAATGCTGTATCCGGTATCAACATATTACCAACCTTGAGATGACGTAGTGCCTACTACTCTATTAAGGTGGCAATCATTATCATCGTCATGAAACTTCGAATATATACCTCATTTATTGATGGTTGTAGTTCGAACCAACTAACTGCTTTTGACAAGTTAATCTCCTCCTCTTCCTCTGGGGATAAATGATATATAACATCGTTACTATTCATCGCTGTAGTATTATTATTATTTCCAGCATTGATCAATTTATCTAAAAGAATCGATGATATAACAGTAGTACAATTATATGATTACTACTACTACTATCATGTTGTTGTTGTGTATGATGTATTTGTGATAAGAGTGATGCTACTGTTGATGGTCTCCCTTTATCAACTGATCCTGAATGTCTAAGATATTCTCTATGTAGAAACTAAGAAGAAGGAGAAGTAGGGTGAATACGACTACTATTATTATTATTATAACCTGCATCCCTTTGATAGTTTGAGCATCACAATCAAAATCCTTATTAATAATATCCTCCCATTTGGTCCAAGCCATTCTCCTTATCCTATAGAGTTCAGGATTAGATGTATTATTGATACATGCTGATAAATAGAAATGCTCTAACAACAACATAAAGAAGGATGATGATGACGATGATAATAGTAGTATTATTATTACCAATATCGACTATAAGCCTTGATAATGTGATGAATGCCGAATCCTTATCATTATTACAATATGCTTGGAAATCCACTAAAGCTAACTCTACTTGAGCTACTTTACCAAGTAGATGGTATTGCTGTAACGATAACGAAGATGATGATGATGATTTCAGCTCTTGGCTGCTAGCGTCTTGTTGTGTAGTAAATGTACCAATATTGCTGCTGCTACTACTAGTGGTAGTAGTAGTTGTAGCATAGAGGGATCTAGTATTAGGGACTTGTAAACCTTCACGTAATCTGAATAGTAGTACTACTATGGTGGTCAAGATGATGATTATAAATGTAATAAGGAGTATACGACATCATAATAATAATCTACTACTATATTACCTCTTTATCCCTTTTCTTAATACAGATATCGCAGTACTCTTACGTTGGATATAATCATAATCATCTACTTCTTCTTTTTGTTGTTGTTGTTGTTGTTGAGTATACCCATACCAGACTATTGAATATGCAACGGCGATATAAACCTCCGAAGTTAGTAATTCCGATTCGGCTAAAACGGTTACCATGATTACTACTATACTTATAATACTATCTATATTATTACATTGATAGAGATCAGTGAATAAGTCTATCGCTGCTCGTATACCTCTTTTCCTCATAATGAAGTGTAAGTAGTGTAATAGTGCTAGAGGGCCATTATTACTACTATTACCCACACTAGTAGACTGCTGATTCATCATCATCGTCATTGTTGTTGTATTAGTAGTAGTAGAAGCAGCAGCAGCGGCGAAACTAAGATAATGGTATAGCGTTAGTAGTCTCCTTCTTGTTGTTGTTGGTTACTCCAATAATTCCTGATACTTTTCCTCTATATTATCATTATCATATCCTTCTATCTCCATTACTTGACATTGTAATAATCGTAAAGGAAATGATGATGGTGTAGGAACATAACCTCTAGTAAGTATACTAAAGACAATAACAATACTATTAGTATAGATGATGTTAGTAGTAGTAGTTGGTGTAGTAGCAAAATATTATTACCATTCCAATAGTGCAGCATTGGATGATACACCTTTACTTTTTGATATACTACTATCACTGGTGGTGGCGGCGGAGGCCATATACACCTTATACCAAAACTCCGCATCATCATCATCATCATCCTTATTATTATCATCATCATCCGATAGTATAGCATGCCCATGATGATTATGACCATATTGTTGTTGTCTGGAGGACTTACACAACTTACTAGCTATATATGATCTAGCTTCTGCTGGTACTAGTGGTAATTGTGATATCCTTATCTCCTCTTCATCATTCTCATTTGATATTATAAGGAAGATATCATCATTAACTCTTTGATTATTATAAGAGGCTTCTGAATAGTCGCCAATGGTCGTGTTATCCATATATAAGTGATGATAACAACAACAACAACAACAAGAATAATAACAATAGATGATAATCCCGCAGTGTTTAAGTAATCCTAAAATGCTCATGATGGTATCAATAAAGTTATCATCCTAATCTACTACTACTACTACTACAAGATGAATAGTATACTGAGTCGGTATACTAAGTGAAAAGTACTAATATAATAATAATATATCCCTACTTATTAGTAATAATACAAGTATACACTTATTATCTTAAACATCCTCCTCCTTATGATGATATGAAGAGTAAGAGGAATAAGTAGATAATAACATATTCATGATGTTATTCATACGGCTATGATATAAGGACACTACTATCTTCAATATAATAATTAAAGTCATAATCAACAACAGAGTACCTACTATCATTGATATCCTCTATATACCTCAAATAACAACAACAACAACCTATGAAATTTCCTCTTCTACTACTACCTTATCCCTACTACTACTACATTATATAACACCGAGTAGGATAAACGTTGTATTAGTACTCTAACTCAAGTTAATGATAATAACAGTACTAACTCTTATCATAGCCCACCAAATAGTTGTAGTACTTGTAGTAACATCAGTAAGTCTGATGATGATTATGATTATGATGTTAAGTATAAGAATAGTAGTATTAGATATCTACACTACTTGAGTAGGCTTCTTACCAGACCCAGAAGACATCATTAGAATAGCTTAGTTCCAACTAAGAACAACAAGTAGTAATAGTAGTAGTAGTTGCTGGTCCTATTACTTGATGTACGAAATCCTCTTTACCAGGCATCATACTACCACCTCTACTACCCCAACTTTTCTCAGCTACATATTTATACACAGTCTCTGATAATAATAGAGTAGGATACTACACTTATATAGCATCATCATTATTACGTCTATTATCTACTCCTTGCTGTTGTTTCCTTCTACTATTTTCTGCTAACTGACTCCATGCTATATACCTCTCATTAGTGGCATCATATCCTACCAGTATTACTACTATCAACTATTATTACTACTATCTTCTTACTCTTATGTAAGAACTCTGCAGCCTCCTTAGCATTGAATGTCGTCGTTTGCGGCATCAGCATCGTTGTAGATGTAGGAGGAGTTACTTGTTGTTGGTGAGTAGTAGTAGTAGTGTTCCCTTGAGTAGTAGGGGATGTTGTTAACCTCTTATTACTACTAGATGCTCCTCCTGCTGTTGCTGCTGCTGCTGCTCTAGCTGCCCATGTATTATTATTCCTGTTATTATTACCCCATACTTCACCACCTGCTACTACGACACTAGGCTCTGAATAATATTATACAGCACTTCTACTCCAGTTGTGCTTATTATTATTACTATGTTGTTGTTGATGATGTTGCTTAGGCGGTGGTGCTGCTATAATACCTCTCTGTTGTGGGGTTGTGGTGGGAGTAGTCCCTCGATTAGTAGTAGTTGGACGGGATGGAAGCTTACCTCTACTAGATGGAATATTACTCATCTTAACAACTATAAAGAGGATCATGAAAGATGTCCAGTAAGGAGGATAACACAAGTAGTAGTAGTGATGGTATAACACGTATTAGTGTATTATTATTATCATGTACATGATGTGATAGATAATATATGATCTTAATACCAGACTCATTGCCATACTACTAGAATAGTGCATCCTAGAGTTAGCTATCAGTACTTCCTCATAAGTACATCCCTATAACAAGAATAATAATAATACTGCCTTAGTATAGTAGTATTATTATTACATCAGTATTAGATTCACAAGTAGGTAGATCATCATATGTAGTATCCCCTAGTTCTCCGTTGATGATATTTCTAAAGAACTCTACTATTATACACACAGTAATACAAGTAGTGCTGTTAATACTCCTACTAATAGTATTACAACTAGTATTACCTCTTATTAAACATGTTCTTCATCTTCTTGTTATCGATAATGTCATCATTATTATCTGTGTAATGTGATGTAGTGATAGATCCTTTATTAAATTGCTGTAGATATGCTAGATTCATGTGATGTAGTCCTGATCTAGTCAACAAACGTTGGGGTATACCTAACTCGATATCACGATCATGAATATAGTAGAGTAGTAATAGTAATAACACTTACTATGGAATTCTTGGCACCAGCATCCTATAGAACCACTATGATGATGAGCATGACCACCAGCATTGATATATTCATCAACTGATACATGTATCTATCATCATATAATACGGATATATAATACCGCTGTTATTATTACTACCTCAGGGATGGCTATCCTTCTTATACTATCCAAGTTACATTGAGTATTCATAGTACTAGTAACAGTGTTGTTGTTATTATTAGCAGCATTCCATGATGATGATGACGATGACATGAATAATGGTATAGGATTTGTTACTCCATCATCATCATCATTTTGACCATTAAATGTATTATATCTAATCTCCCCGTTATTAATACATTCAGAGCATGTACCATCTCGACATATTACCCATGTATTATCTGACTTTATTAATGCTACTTTTAATAATGATATCTACTATTACTACTACCAGATGGATGATGATGATGTAGTATTAATGGTGTGAATAGAGACCAATCCTTGGGATCTAGAGTAACATCACCACATAATACAGCTTCTAGATGATGAGGAGTATGAAGTGTTCTTCTTCTTCTTGTTGTTGTTGTTGTTGTTGTTGTTAGTACTTGAAGACATCGTTGACCAATATCCGAGGAATACCTCAATCTAATCCTCCTATTCATGGTTAGAGGATATGCTATATCAACAACATCCCATGCTTGCCTTGATGCTTTATTCACTATATTAGAGCATATATCAGTAACAACCTACTACCAACAAGGATACGTAATAATAACAATAGAAGCTTACATGCCAAGGCAGGTAGGATGAGGTAGACCATCCATCTGATAATGATGGGGGTTTAGCAGTAAGGCATTTACCATTGTTAATCAAGTGACCCGTTGATGGTATATAACTCCTAATGATATTACAATTACTAACAACAGCAGTAGTAGTACTACTACTATTACCATATAGTGTTGTTATCCTCCTCCTTCTTTATACTGTACTTATTCATCATGATAACTACTCCTCTATATATATTATGATAAAGAAGAAGGCCACCAGCATTTGATATAATATTATATCTTAATGCTCTACGACATTCACAAGCACCTATAGCTCTTCACACTTAGTTCTTATCACTACTATTGTTCTTCTTCTTACCTCTTCTTCCTCTTCTCTGCTCTACTTGTAATGATGACCATAGACCATCACGTAATGTTGTATATGTACAATTTGATCCACCATATGATGATGCTGATGTTATTGGTCTAGTGTAACTATAATAACACTTATCCCTTGTATACTATTATTATATTACATTCCCTTAGGGAAATATCCAAGTCTTATATTACCATTACAAGTACAATAATCCCCTGTAATATTGGCACACTTTATCCAATTACCTAGTATGAAGGAATAGTAATATTGGCTCTATAATCTATTATTACCTAGATTGGTCGTAATGGATAGGGATGGTGATGATGATGATCTAGACCTCTGAGTAGTATCATATACGAGTGTAGCTAATACAATATTGTTGTTATGAATAACTCACTGCTATTATTATTACCATCATCATCATTGGTAGTAGATATATGAGGATGATCGATGATCGGTGGCCATAATACAATATCCCCCTCATCACCACTCTTAACTATATATAGGTATAATACGACGACGATATAGTAGGCTGATGAAGGGATACACATTGATAGTAATAATAGCTAAGCCAACTTAACTCATCAGAGTAGGAGTATTATCACTATGAATAGGAGTATATCTTGAAATCTTATAGCATCTTGAAATATCCTAACATTTTTGTCATGGTGATCACCATCATCATCACCGTGATATGTGGTGACGATGATATCTAGTAATGAGGCCTTCCGTGCTAAGTTACTAGAGCAGAGTAAGGCAGATGAGGAGGCTAATACTAAGAAGAAGTTAATACAAGCTAAGAAGAAAGAGAAGTAATAGTACTACTATCATTATTAATACTATTATGATAGTTTATTATAGGTATCGTCTGAGACAGAGAGCTATCAATAAGGCTAAGTTAGATAATGATCATCATCAGCAGGAGCAGCATGGACAACATGAAAAGGATAAGGAATCATTCGATATAGAAGGTCTAGGTTATAGGGATAGAGTTATGGAGAGACGGAAAGGTATGTAATAATAATAATAATAGGATGGGAACATTATTATAGTAGTTATTAGGTGTATCTAATGAGGTTAATGCTGCTGAAGCTGATTGGGATAAGTATAATAAATTAACTGTTGAGGAATCTATGTATCTTGGTGGTGATGAGGCTACTACTCATTTAGTAAAAGGGTTGGATATACAATTAGCTAATAGGATTAAGGAACAAATAAGGAACAACAACAATCAAACCGAGCCGAAGGCAGAGGATAATACTACTACTACTCAACAATCTATACCTAATAGTAGTAGTAGTGGTATAACTACATGTATGGGTAGGAGTATAGCAAGGTAATAGTAATGATGTTAGTAGTAATATATACTAGGGTTATTATGTAGATCGTTATTTGGCCCTGGACAACTACACCCTAATAGACACGGTATTCCTATTATCATACATAAACAGACTATACAGATTGGTCATATGCCATTGAATACTAAGATAAAGGGTTCTTCTAGGAAGTAGTAATAGGTAGTAGTATGATAGTAGAAGGGTAGTATTGGTAGTAGATTCTTAAATGGTAAATGTGTATATAATATGAATATTGATCCTAATGATGTTGAAGAAGTAATACCAATGGAAGTTTATCAACCAATACAAGATAATGAGGATGAGGATGGGGATACTAAGTTATATGTTGCTAGGTAGTAGTAGTACTGATAATAGCTATATATAATGGATTAGATATAATGAAGAGATATCAACAGAGATGATTGCTGCTATGTTACGTAAGAAGACGACGGGTTATCATCGTCGAGGTATTGTTAACACATTACCAGTAGAGAGTAACAATCCTTTATCATCATCATGTGTTGGAGAGTCTGAGATAATGATGAATAAGGAACGGTAGTAATAGTATTCATGCACATTACTATATAATAACAACACTGGTAGTCGACCTATGGAACCTGTGGATAATGATGTTGATATATTCACCAATGAGGAGGTAAATAAAGGTGATGGTGAGGATAATAACAAGGTAGTATATGGGACTTCCTTATTACTACTCATTATCCTATTATTATAGCCTACTACTACTCATCAATGGATTACATCTGATAGTATGATGTCACGGAACTATTTTAAGGATGATGATAATCGTAATGATGATGATGATGGAATTGATGAAGGTGATTGGTCCTTGTGGATTATTATCCCATATATCTTATTATTATCAGTAGCAGCAGCTACGAGACTTACTCAAGCAGTACAGTCAGCCTTGGCTAAAAGGATAGAGAATAAGAAGGATGAGGATACTAAGCTGGGGAGTAGCAGAGGAGGAGGAGGAGGTAGGTATCCTATACTATAGTACTCGATATTCAGTTGTTGATGTTATTCTTAGATTTCCTTGCTAGTGGTGATTACGATGAATGTTATGTTGGTTATGGAGCATTACAGGGCTTTGGTCATGATGTTGGAATGAATAAGGAGACCTTTATGTCGAATAAGAAGAGGATGAGAGGGAATAATAAGAAAAAGAAGCAAGGAGAAGAAGGCAATAATAAGGGGTAATAGGATCATAACAACAACATTCTTACAAGATTGGCATGCTGCTGCTGGCCTAGGGCCTATATACTCATTATTATTATTATTAGGTTGGATATTGATGATGATGATGTTGTTGTTAAGAAGAAATCTAAGATGGGTGAGAGCGCCCAACTAAAGGCGATAATGAAGAGGGTTGATGAAATGAACGAAGGATAAGTATTAAAGTATCATTATCATCACTATGTTGTGTTCAATATGCTATATGTATAATGTAGTAGTATATGGGTCATGGCAACAGCAACAGTATTAACGAAGTCTACTACTACTACATTAGAAGATCGTAAAGAAGAAGATATCTATACATCATTAGAGAATGTAATAGTTATAGTAGTTATAGTATTGTTGGTTGTTATTATTATTATGATTATTAGATTGGATTACCTTGGTTATATTTTGGTGATAAAACTATGGCTAAAGATATGCATAATCTAAGACAACATCATATTAGATATGTAATACTATTCCTATATGATATATGGAGTAGTAGTATTATTATTAGATACTTAACTGTACACCAACTAAAACAGAGGGTGGTATACCCAATTATTATACTACTACCACGTCCTCAGTGAATGCGGGTATTAATAAAAGAAGCTTGGGTGGTATGTTCGAATATTGTAGGATACCAATGCAAGATAATGCTACTGAGAGTTTAAGTATATGGTAATACGTATATAATATTAATACTGAGATAATAATAATAGATTATAATAGGTATGATACTGCATGGAATTTTATAGATAGATGTCGGATAAGGGAGGATGGCAATGTAATACATATATTATAACAACAGCTTTATACATGTTTTATTATTAGATACTCGTACATTGTAATTGGGGTCAATCTAGATCAGTTAGTATCATTATAAGCTATCTAATAAAGTAATATACATACTATTATCACTACTACCAAGATCATCATCATAATGAATGTGATAGATATTATCGATATACATACGATGATGCATTAGAAGCAGTACAGAAAGCAAGACCCGAAGCTTCACCTAATCAATCATTCGAAAAACAGCTTATTAAATTATCCAAGGAATTACAAAGTAGGATCACTACTACTACCATCACTAACAACAAGTAGCATATATTCTGTATAGTTACCAAGGACTATGTATCTATATCTCCAACATATAATAAACAACGGGTTGGTCCAGTTACTATGGATGGTTACCACAAACGACAACGTATATCATCGACAAACTTACCATTGAAACGGAGAGTAGTTGGTCCGGCAGCATTACCATCTAAACCTTCTAGTACTTGATTGGAATATGTTGTGTTATATGTATTAACACTTTAACACGACATATATTATAACAACACATGAACATGTATACATCTACATCCTAATCTTAGAACAAATACCTTCCATTTGTCTGCTATTCAATATCATCATACTTCCCATCATAGATGCATTAATAGTATTCCTAATAACTGCACAAGTCATAGCTTTACCCATATACTCAGTAGGTATATCAGCGGTATTCTTCTTAGCTATACGTGAATATGTAATAAATTTATTACCATCGATAGGAGTATTATAACATACACCATTATCGAACATATATCCACCATTACTATTAGAGTATTTCAATATCACTTCACCATCCGTATATGGTAGTTTAATATGACATAATGGATCATAGTATGGGGGTAATATAGAATTACTATTACAGATACTATCCATCATGTTAAACATTACCTGCATTATTGCTAGTGATGATAACTCAATATTATTATACCTACCTCAAGTTGATGATAGATCTGTGGTGTTGGTATTGAGACTATCTGTTGTTGAATCTTATTATATATATCATTACAACTCTGTGCATCTTCAATATCTACAATCACAGAATAGTATGTATGATAATAGTAGTAGTATTATTACGTAATAGATAATCCCTCATAATAGGATAAGCCAGTATATCATCATCATTCAGCTTAACCCAATGATTATTACCACATTGGACTTCAACACCCTCATAAATGTTACCAAATACTTTATTGAATTTAATATCCATACCAAATACTTCACCATAACAATAATTATCATGATTCTAAATAATAATAATAACAACTCATTACTCGCTTTATCGTAGCTACTGCTGCTGCTGCTGCTGCCTCCTGTCCCTTTCCTAATATTATGTGTGATGTATGTGGTCTTCTAACTTTAAGCCCACCATAGGAATAACATCCATTAAGGGATAGACTGATAACAATGGCCAGTAGAAACATGTACCACTGAGTCAAGAAGAAGGAGGAGGAGGAGGGCACTCATTACCTTATTATTATCATCATGGAATAAGCAAGGAAGAAGAAGAAGACCATCCCATGCTGCTGCTGCTGTTGCTGGCTCTTAGTGGACTTTAAAGCTACCTTCATTACAGGGGGCAATTTATGGAAACAATACGGAGCTCGAAGATGGGCGCCGACGACGACGACGCTGCTGCAAGTTGTCGATTATTATGGCGGTCGCCACCGCTGCCATATGATGGTGTACATGCGTATGTTCATGACTGCTGCTGCTGGTGGTAGTAAACAGTTAAGATGACTCTTGGTAAAGTCGTATGTGTGCTGTATAATGATCCTATAGATGGGTATCCTCCTAAATATGCCCGTGATGATATACCCAATATAAGTACCTATCCAGGTGGGCAGACAACACCTACTACTAAAGGTATACACTTTAAACCTGGTACTCTACTTGGTTGTGTATCTGGTGAACTTGGTATACGTCAGTTAGTTGAAGATCATGGTTATGAGTTTATAGTGACATCTGATAAAGATGGTGATGATTGTGAATTCGAGAAGCATTTATCAGATGCAGTTGTAATCATAAGTCAACCATTTTGGCCAGCTTATATGACTGAGAAACGTTTCAAGATGGCACCCAAGCTAAAACTATGTATTACTGCTGGTATTGGATCTGATCATGTTGATCTAGAAGCTGCTGCACAGAATAATGTCACTGTTGCTGAGGTTACCTATTCTAATTCCATATCAGTCAGTGAACATGTCGTGATGCTTATATTAAGTCTAGTACGTAACTATATACCTTGTTATAAGACAGTTATTGAAGGTGGTTGGAATATAGCTGATTGTGTTAGTAGATCATATGATATTGAAGGTATGCATATTGGTACTGTAGCTGGTGGTAGAATTGGTCAGGCTGTTCTTAAGCGTCTTAAACCATTTGATGTACATCTACATTATACTGATCATTATCGTTTACCAGAAGATGTTGAAAAGGAACTTGGTGTTATTTATCATCCAACTGTTGAGGATATGGTTAAAGTATGTGATGTTGTTACTATAAATTGTCCATTACATCCTCAAACAGAACATCTTTTTGATGCTACATTACTAAGTAAGATGAAACGTGGTGCATATCTAGTTAATACAGCAAGAGGTAAGATATGTGATAGAGATGCTATTAGAGCATCATTAGAAGCTGGTCATCTTGGTGGTTATGCTGGTGATGTATGGTTTCCTCAACCTGCACCTGAAGATCATCCATGGAGACATATGCCACATCATGCAATGACACCTCATGTTAGTGGAACTACTCTATCTGCTCAAGCACGTTATGCTGCTGGTACTGCTGAGATACTTGAAGCATTCTTTGATGGTAAACCTTTACGTAATGAATATCTTATTGTTGATAAAGGACAACTTGCTGGTGCTGGTAAACATTCATATACCCAAGGTGATGTCACTAAAGGTAGCGAGGAAGCTTCTAAGTATCATAAGCATACTAATATCCACTATGAGAATAATGACGTATTCTCATCATCAGAGTCTGAGAATAATATCAAAAAGCGTAGAATATGATGTCTTCATTGCTCATGTTCAATCAAACCAAGGTTTTCATGGACTTTCAGTCCTCAGAATATTCGACTTTTTCATATCGAGGGTTTTACCATATAGCTACACTCTGTAGTGATGATGATGTTGATCATATGAGTTTCATGATGTAGTAGACTTTTTATTATGATTGATGGTGTCGTGTTCATATGGAGTACTTCCAACACAACATGAGTAGTTGGTGAAACATTAGGTGATTATCCAATATTAGCCATCTTATTGCCAGAACCTCTTGGATGATCATCTTTCCAATCATCCCATTTACGTGCCTTCAACTCTTCCTCCTCCTCCTCCTTACCCGAAGATATACCATCATCATCATTGATGGTTTCGGATTTCATCATATTCTGTTGTTCTATTGCAGCCCATTCATCGAGTGTCATAGTAGGCATTGGTATATCAGGTCTGAGGATAATAACATATAATTACTGCACTACTACCCCACTACTGCTACTACTTGAAGACACCGTTCATGACCTCTAACCTGTCTTTTCCTACTATATCACCAGTACCCAACCGTACAACCCATGGCATCCTTCTCCTTCTATCAGGTGGATGTCGACTAAACCAGAGTATATATAATTAAGAAAACACTCGATATACCTACTTATCATGATCCTTCTCCTCTGTTGATTTTTTATTAGACTCTAATAATTGATTATCAGACTCTCGTCGCTTGAGACACTCAATCTCAATCCCAAGCATCTTATCCTCATCCACTGATAGTAAGGTAAAATACTTGATTAATGAGATATAACATTCCCTCATTATCTCTTCATCATTATCATCTTCATGATGATACGCTTTAGTTATATATTTCCTCTTCAACTGCTGTTCCTCCTTTCTTCTGCTTATCTTAGCATCTCGAACAGCATCAATCATATCACCAACACCCAATAACGGAGATGAGGGACTTATTAATTTCAGTCTATGTATTATCATGTTGATAAAATGTTTTAAGTAAGTATCAATCTTGATAAGATTCATTGAAGTCCTGTTGTTGTTAGTGTTTGTAGAGTCTATATAATGCTTCATGGAATCAGCTATCACATACGGTAAGGTCAAGAGCAATAAGGAATTTGTATGAACTTCATCGATATCATCATCTTCATTATTAGATATTGTATAACCCTCTGATCGTAAGGACTTCTCCAGAGTAATGAAAGTCTGATATAAACATTTCCACCAATCCCCATTATACTGCTGCTGCTGCTGTCGACTCGCTTTGTGTTCTTGTTCTGGTACTAGATCAGGATGAGCAGCAGGTATATAATCCTGATGAAAATAATGATAGAAGGCATCTAATGGAGTGTTGAATGATGATAATATATCATCATCATCATCAAGATTGAGCATGATAATGATAACAACAACTTGATGATGATTATGATATCGATACCATTGATATCCCTAAAACTACAACACTACCTTCTGAATGAAAGCTTTCAATGATGAATGATGAAGCTATGACTTATACTACTACTGTAGCAGCACACTACGGAGATAATCATCATCATCATCATCATAATGAGGGGTATCTTATCATTTACAGTGTTTCTTCTTCTTCTTCTTCTTGTCGTGGTAGTAGTTGTTGTAGATGACCACGATCTAGCGTTATTGGTATATAAATGCCATTGCTGCACTGTATCTAATCAACATCCATATCCTTGGGGGAGACCTCATCATCAACATTATCAGGTTCTTCAACAATAGCTTCGGGTGGTACTGATGTACCAGATTGATCAGGAGAGGATGACTCTTGCTTCTTTGGTAGTGGTGGTGATGGAGGCTTCTTCTCAGACAATATACCATCAGCCAACTTGATAAGGGCATCAGTCTTATCATTGAGCTGTGATACAGTATATACTGGTTCTAGATAAAGAGGTTGTCTAACTTGTAATGCCTTCTGTTGAGATAACCATGATTCCAGTTTATGGCATTCTTCCAATATATACTGTTTCCTTTCAATAGCAATATGTGCATAGGCAATATCAGGAGACTGAGCTAAGGACCTATACTTCTGTATAACATCCTGTGCTCTAGCCTCTGCCTCAGGTCTTAGACTAGCTTCCATAGCACGACTCTCAGCTCCATCTCCTAATGCACGTATCTCTATCAGCTTGTCCATGTACTCAGCCTTAGTAGCCTGAATAATAATAAGATAGCATGTCATAGGATTATTATTATATTGGATAATAATAATACCTCATAATGATCATATATCCAATCCTCAGTCTGCATTAATATATTAGATAATTCTTCTCTCTGGGCTGCACTAAGATACTCATACCATCTAGATGATGGTGAACTTATCTTGTCCCTACAATACCATAATTAACATCGGTGGAACTACTACTTCTATTATTACCTGCTCTCGAATACATAACTCTCAAGCTCATTACGTCTCTCATCAGTATCAGCAACTTCTCTATCAACACTCTTCATCATAGATTCATCATTCTCAGCAGCTATGAGCCTTTCTTCACACATACCAGGTACATGAGAGCCTGTTATACTAGGATTCGAACATCTTATAGTAATCATCATAGGGACCTACGTATAATGGGTATCTCGGTCTTCTTGGTACGCGTCTTAGTCTTCATCACTTCAACCTCCTCATACTCTTCTTCCTTGTCCTTAGGAACCTAATAACCCTCCTAAGCATGGAGAGCAGGAGACTAGCATTAGTGCTTTACCTCAGCAGGCTCCATATTCACATCATCATTGGCAGTAGTAGTAGTTGCTGAAGGAGAGGCATCTACCATATTCTCATCATCATTATCATCATTAGTTTCCTTATTAATAGATCGTCGTCTACGCTCCTTCTCTACAACTTGATACTCTTCCTCTTCTATCATAATAGCATTCTCAATACTGAATGTACCATGTAGACTGAGCTTAGCTCGGACTTTAATCTTCTTAGGTCCTTCATCATTCTCACTATTATGAGGTACTTGTATAGTATATCTCCCAAGAGATGCATCATCAGCATGGTCGTCACTGTTGGTATATTGTGCCCATAGCTCAAAGGCTTCCTTACGATAGAAGGTAAGCATCTTAACCGTATTAAGTGTAGATCTTGGTGGGAAGACCTCAGTCCTCTTGATGATAGAAGAACATCCTTCAACATCATCATTATTAGTAGTAGATGTTGTCTGCTGTTGCCAGGCTACCTCAATACCTTGTTGAGTAAAATCAGTAACGGCAAAGTCCCTAAAAAGATTATGATGAGGTAGCCTGATGATGATGATGTTACATGATGTATATTACCTAACCTTGAACAAGGGTGATAACATAGCGGCTTGTAATGCACATCCTCGTGCTACACACTCATCAGCATTAAGAGTACGAGATAAGTCCTTATGTAGAGTATCAACAATAGTACGTTGTATGAATGGTACTCTAGATACACCACCAATGATCTCTACTGAATGTAAATCATCAATAGTAATGTTAGCTTCCTTCAATGCCTTATTCATCACAGACTGCATCTTATCAACCATCGGAGAACATAGTTCCTCGAGCTTATCACGAGTCACGACTACATTCTAAAACAATGACATGATGATAATATGATTCTTGTTATTATTATCTTACCAGATCCTCATCCTCCAACAAGCATTCAATCCCTAATACGGCCTCATTATTGGCTGATAATATCTTCTTAACCTTATTAACAGCCTCTTCCAACTTAAATCTAGATTTAGCATTCTTAAGGGGATCTAAACCAGTTTTAGTAGTAAACTGTTGACTATAATGCTCCATTAGGATCTTATCAATATATCGACCACCAACAGTAGTATCAATAGCCTCACCAAGTACAGTAAGATGACCTTTAGTAAACTTAACGATAGATGTACCAAAATGTGATGCACCAACAGATGTGAATGCTACTATTGTTGGAGTATTATCACTAAACTCATTAGATCGGTATATACCATAAGCCAATGCAGTAGCTGTTGAATCATTCATAACTCGTAGACAATTAAGACCAGCAATACGAGCAGCATCCAATATAGCATGTCTATGAGCATCTTGGAAGTAAGATGGTACAGCAATAACTACATCTTTACTATTTGATGAGGTAAAGGCATCAGCAGTATCTTTAAGCTTTGATAACAACATAGATGTTACCACTGTAGCTGATAATATTCTCTCCTTACCTAGATATGATACACGATATCCAACAGTACCTATATAGATGGTACTACCATGAGTAGTAATTAGTATTATTATTACCATCATCAGCAATAGCATTATCACATACCTGGAAGAACTTCTCCTTAATGAGTTCCTCATCTTGATCTATTGATGTCCTCCCTAATAGTTGTTTAGGGTTACGACAAGTATTCTTATAATTAGATTTAATAGACGTCATCGCCGCTTCACCTGATGATAATAATAATATCATTAGATGATTATTATACCCCATTAATACCAATTAATCTGTTCTTATCAGTAAAACCAACGACACATGGTGTCTTCCTCTCAGATACCTCATTACGTACAATATCTACTACTCCCTTACCAACAGATGCAACAATAGCATCAGCAGTACCCAAATCTATACCAATCACTCCAGACATAATAATTACAACAACTGGTAATCAAGTGAAGAAGCCCGCCCGCCCGGCCGGCTGTAAAGCCAAAAGCGCACGCCTTAGTGATCGATATGAACGCAACTACCATTGTGCTGTCTTCTGGTCGAGTTTTCCGACAAGATTGTTTGTTTCATAATGTCTGGTGAATTGAATATGTCTGGTAACAACTCCATTTTTACCCCAGACTACTTTTTTGTAGGAGGTGCTCATAAAGATGCGTCCATTGATGATCTATTATTACCAGATGGTGTTCATAATCA